GGCCTGTGATCCATTAGCCGAAATATTTGAATTCCTAATACCCAAACCTGCAAACTCTCCTCTGTTATTCCCAACGTTTTGTGAACCTGACAATTCTTTTCTAATACTGTTTGGTAAATCTTGGAGAATGTGTTTTCCCTTCAGTTTCTGCAAAACCAGAAAAAATTTCCTCATCTATCCAAAAGTCAACCTTTTGTCTGCATTTCTCTGCTGATTTGACAGAACTCTCCTCAAATTCTGACATATCCCTATCTTCCTCGTCCTCAAACCTCAGCTCACCACAATTTCCTCTAACTGCTCCGACCACCGGAGAATTTTTGAAAAAAGGCTTTGAATCATCATAAACCAATCCAATCTTGATGATAACTCTGAACGATCTCCCATAAGATCCAAGAGTAATAAATTTTGGCACATCAAACGGGCTAACAACTCATAAGAATCCTCGCAGAAGTGAGATCTTCCCTGTTCTTGGTGGAATCATGAATTTCCACCATATTTCCCCATCTCCTAGCTATTCGTTCTAAGGATTCGTTCCAGCATAACAGAGGAATCCTGAATATTTCAACCTGGCAAAAAGCCATAGGAACTCCATCCTCGTTCAATAAAGGAGTCAATCTTTCAAACCACAAGCTTATCACATCTTTCTTCTTTGTCCATGCTTCCATCATATCTTCGTGGGATTTAAAAGAGATAACACAGGAATTCCTGGCATAACCCCAGCCAACAATCTGAACTTCAAAACCTTCATTATCAAAGAACTCCTTAACTGACTTAAAATCCAAGGAAAGCTTAACAATCCCCGTTAAAGAACTTTTGACCCAACTCGAGCTCTTAGACGGAATATGCATTTCCAGAACATTCTTCCTTGCTTTCTCCCTGTGACTCCCTTCAGAATGAAGCTCTGAATACCCCATTGCATTATTTCTCATACTTACAGACAATAAAACATCTTTATACGATCTTTCATCCCTAATATTCCTGCTGGTAAAATCTGTCGCTTTCAACTTTGAATGTCCTGCTGCAGTCGAATCTGGGACCGGAATTACTAGACTGATCTTCCCTGCTATCTTTGGACGAACATCATTGTATTTTGCAACTCCAACTGAAATCCTTCTCCCATCTATCAATGATCCATTTAACATATCTATTGCTCGCTTTAAACCAGATTCCCGCTCAAACTGAACAAATGCAAAAGTCGAAAATCTATATTTAGGATTTCTAGTTTCTTTTGGGATAAAAACTCTCTCCACTGCTCCCTGAGCCGAAAAAATTCCCCTTAGCACACGTCTAGATACTCTCCTACTTAGATTGTCAACAAACACCTTCCAAACCTCACCGGAATCTATCTTGCCTTTCAACTTTTCTTTCTCTGCTTTTCTCTCACCCATTTTTTTACTTGCTCCGCAAACGATACCTATTCCTTTGATTAGGGAAGCTTTCTCTGAAGTCAGACGAGAAGAAAGTCGACGCACACTAATGCTTTCGGATTCTGTATCCATTAAAGGATCTGCATTAATCACTCTCTCAGAACAACTCTCGCCCTAAAAAGGGGCGACCATGGTGTGATTACTGTAAGAAGGTTGGCCATGTGAGGGTCACTCGTTGGAAACTACACGACAAACCTACTAATGGCAGTGAGTATTTTGCCAAGTTTTTGGGTTCTTTCTTTAAATAAAAATGGATTGTTTATATCAATTCATGCGTTAACTCTCCTCTACAAAATGGGGTAACTGAGCGGAAAAATAGGCATCTTCTAAAAGTCACCCGATCTCTCTTGTTCTCTATGAATGTTCTTTTAACTGCCACATACTTGATCAATGGTCTAACCAATAAACCCTTGAACTTTCAGAGTCCACGGGAGGTATTCCTTTAATTATTTCTTAACTTTAAACCTATGGCTTCATCTTTGCCACTCCGAGTCATTGGGTGTACCGTCTTTATACATAATAATGTCCTTTCTTGATCCATGTTAGATCCTCGAGCGTTTAAGTTTGTGTTTCTTGGTTATTCTTCTATTCAAGGGTTTTCGATGTTACTGCCCTCAAACTTGGAAATTTTTTGTTACAATGGATGTCACCTTCTTTGAGAAAACTCCTTTTTTCCTTAAGACTATAATTCCAGGGGAATCTTATAACGAATTTTAGTTACTTCAACCATCTTATGTGAACCAAACAGCAACATTAAACCGGCCACATTTAAACCAACCTACCACACCACCAGATCAACCACCCTTGGACCAAACAATCACGCTCCCTCTTGAACATCCGACATTGTTGTCGCCAAACCCAATGGAAACTGAAAAATTACCGACTCCATCCCAACTAGCATCACCAAACCAACTCACTTCGCCTCAAGCTGAAAATACTAAATTACTGCTCTACAAGATAAGACAAAAACTAGTATCTGAACCTACCTCTGAACCTCAACCCAAGTGTCTCCTACACATCATGAATACTCTCATGAACTGGAACAAAGCTCGAATCCCTCCAGAGATTAAGAAGGTAACCCAAGTCCCTCTAATGAATTAAATGCCTTGATTAATAACAGTGATTTGCCGATTGCTCAGAGGAAGGGAGTCATACTATTAATAAATTTGTTAGATATGGAAAACTAACACCTTGTTTCAAGAATTTTACAGCAAATATAGAAAACATTATCATTCCAGACATGATGGAAGAAGCTTTGAAGAACCCTATGTGAAAAAAGGCGGTAGAAGAATTGATCACACTGAAAAACAATAACACATGGGTCATAGTTGATTTCCCAAAAGACAAGAAACATGTTGGTTGCAAATGAGTGTTCACGGTAAAATACAAGGCGAATGTAGCATTGAACAACACAAGGCAAGATTAATGGCTAAAGGGTTTACTCGGTATCAAGGAATTGATTATCAAGAAACGTTTGCTCCTGCGGCAAAATTAAACACTATGAGAGTGCTATTATCTCTGGCAGTCAATGAGGGCTGGGTACTTCATCAACTAGACATTAAGAATGTTTTTTTAAACGGCAACTTAGAAGATGAAGTGTATATGCAAATCCCACCAGGTGTGAAGAGTTGTACAGAAAAAGCATGTCGACTACTAAAGTCTTTATATGGACTTAAACAATCTCCAAGAGTGTGGTTTAATAGATTCACGAATGTAATCATTCATGACGGATACAAGCAAAGCAATCAGATCATACATTGTTTATCAAAACAGCTTCAAACAAAAAGGCTATTTAGATAGTCTATGTGGATGATATCATCATAACGGGTGATCACACAGTGGAGATAGAAAGATTAAAGAAGCTACTAGCAAGAGAATTGGAGACGAAAGACTTGGAAAATTTGCGATATTTCTTAGGATGGAGGTTGCGAGATCGAAAGAAAGGATAATGATAAATCAAAGGAAGTACACTCTTGATCTATTATCAGAAACATAAATGAAGGGATGTAAATCAACCAAAACACCCATGGAGGCAAATCTTAAGTTAAGAAGAGAAGAATTGGGAGCCCAATAAATAAAGAACAGTACCAAAGGATAGTAGGTAAACTCGTCTACTTATCACTCACCAGGCTTGATATAGCCTTTTCTGTAATTATTGTGAGTCAATAAGTGAACGATCCAAGAGAAGAACATTTAGAGGTCGTGAACCAAATTCTGAGATACTTGAAAATGACACCGGGACATGGATTGATTTTCAGGAAAAGTAAAGATAGAACAGTGAATCTTCTCTGATTCGAGCTGGGCAAGAGAACTAACGAATAGAAGATCTACAACCGGTTATTGTTCATTTGTTTGGGGAAACCTTGTCACGGGGAGAAGTAAAAAGCAAGCGGTGGTCTCTTGAAGCAATGCAGAAGCAAAATATAGAGCAATGGCACACGGCATTTGTGAGGGAATTTGGCTACAAAGACTGTTAACTGAATTGGGTTTATGTGAAAACAATTGTTTTGAACTTCAAAGCAACAATAAGTCAACAAAAAATATTGTGAAGAATCCAATTCATCGTGATCAAACGAAGCATGTGGAGATCGATAGACATTTCATCTCGGAAAAGTTAAATAGTGGACTAGTAAAACTCAACTATGTCCCTACCTAAAATCAATGGGCGGATATCCTCAACAAGGCGCTTCTAAAACCAATTTTCTCCAAGCTGGGTCTTTTCAACATTTACTCCCAGCTTGAAGGTAGTGTTAGTTGTACAATTGTATAGAATTACCTAGTAGTTAAGATTAACTCTAATTCTAATCCTAATTATTAGCATATTGTATTAGAATAAAACTCTACAAGGTAATATAGTTCTAGTAGAAAAACTACTCCATGAATTGTATATAAATAGACTTGTACTCATCATAATTTCATCCATGAATTGTATATAAATAGACTTGTACTCATCATAATTTCAATATAATTGCAAGGAGAATTATCTCTTCAATATTCTCTAGCTTTCTTGGTACTCTCTAGCTTTCTTGGTAAACTACAATCAGATGCAAGAAGCAATATAAAAACCATGAGTAATAACTTCAAATTTGAAAACAAAAAATAAAAATCACAGATAAAAGTTCGAGGGCTTAATTGATTTAATTTCTCGGTTTTGGGATTCAATCGAGTGCCAAAACACTTCAAGGGCTTAATTGATTTTTTTCTAAAAGGTTGAGGGCTTAATGCACTCTTAAACATGATTTTTTTAAGAGATGGTAATAATGAATTAATTGCAAATAAATCATAAAACACAAGAATAAATAACATGGGGATTCGCGAAGGCATATCCCAAACACAACTACACGAGTGGCATAACAGATGAAGCTTATATCACAGGCAAAGTTAAACCTTTCTCAGGACAGAAGATGCAACATATACAATTAACACCAAGGGTGCCTAATAAAACCAGTATCTTTTTTAAATGCTACTTTATTATAGTTTTAGGTGCAGTTGTGCATCCAATTAAAGGCTACTAAGTCACAGACCCCCCACCCCGGCACAAGAAAAAAAGGAAAAATCAAAGTCGTAGCTCACCTGACCCAACAATTTCTACAAACATCCGGATCACATTCCCTGTCTGCAGCAAAACATGGACACTGACGGCTTCGGCATTGACTTTTAGCACAATGACAACCTCTAAATCGATTCTTGCAACTCTTAGGACATCTATATGAACAAGCAAATATTAGTACACAGAATAAATGCATCAACATCAGGACATCATTAATGAACGTTCATAACCATTAATCTACATCAAGATGACAAGATCCAAGACTTCCAAAGAATCAAAAACTGACAAGGACAGGAATGAATTGATGACATATTTTAGGACACTTCAGTTTGAAAAATAATAGCTCACCCGCAGTATTTTTCACAGCATGTTCCATTTAAAAGGCAAGAACATTGCTTTCCGCAAGCTGTTTGGCAACTGCATGGATTATACTGCCGGCATGGCTGATCTTTCCTCTCAGTAATCCTTTTCCTGATTGAGTGATAAGCTGCTGATTTCCAGGTATATTTCAAACGACGGACTCTACCCCTTCTACGTAGGAATCTTGATCTCCGTCTTACTTCATTATTTCCCTAGAGGAATTAAAAGAAAAGAAGATAATTGGAAATATGTGACAAAAAAACGTAGAATTATATAGTTTAGAAATGGTACTAATTTATAAAACAAATTGTAGGTATTAGAATACTAATTAAAATATAATACTTGTAGATTGTAGACGGTAAATAGAGTTAGATTTTCTGTAAATAACTAAGTAGTTTAGATATCCTATAACTCTTATCTCTTAACATGATAGTATTCTATCAAGAGTAATTTTACTTATACTGTAACTCTATGTATTTAGTCTACTTAAAGGAGACTTGTAACTCTAGTCAAAATGAGAGAATTAACACTTAAAATCATATTGATCTAAGTCACAAACACTCGGTTTCTACAATACTATGATACCTAGTATATGGTCTCTGTCACAAACAGAGTCTGGGATGTTGGGTGGGGAAGCTACTTCTGAATCTCAAATGGCAGACTTGGAGGTTAATCTTTCGACACTGGCAGCTCAGGGAGATCCATGATGTGTTGATCGATCAGAACCCAAAGTTGATCATTAGAATCCACATGCAAGTCACATGCACCGCTAGAAGATCTCATCGGTTCTCCATGCACCGGCACATGAGTGCGCGTTGGAGGGTTTTCCGGTGCTGTTTTCTTCCTCTGATGTCGACTTTTGTTTCTGGCCACACCCTTCGGGTACTAAACACTTGAAAGGGCTGCATCGGGGGGAAAAGTTGAGGACTGAGGCTGCACTATTTGTTGTTCAGTGCGAGGCTTCTTGTTTACATGCTGGGTTTTCTACATTCCGGTTCTTAAAAAATTAAAAATTCAATTTTAGGCTCAAGTGTTGACTCGCCTCAGTTGCTATTTGCTTACCTGCTTTTGGGTCGATATCAATTTTGGTGTGGTACTTGGCTTATAACAGGCTTGACTCTATAGTGCGTAATTTGACTATAAATTGATTCCACTTCAAGAAGCCATGAAATAGCCAACTGATACTATTTCCGCTTTTGTTGAGTCAAATAAACCCAATACAAGTCTTGTTTTCGTTTATTGCGCTATAATTCACAAGACAATTAATCCCAGTTTACTTTCTAATTTTCAGTCACATAAATTCATCACTTTTGTTACTTTAGCTGATGGGTCTGGAACCGCTAATCTTACCTCACCCCTTCATTTATCATTTGTTCTAAGTTTACCTCACCCCTTTATTGTTGTCTCATGTTTTTCCTACTTATTGCTTGATTCAGGATCTCATAACGAAGAAGATTATAGGTAAGAGACATGAGTCTGATGGTTTCTACGTTCTTGATACCCAAAAACCATAATATACTACCTGTATCAGTATCGTTACTCATTTTAAAAAACATTGTTATTTGGGTCACTCCTCGCTTTCTATGTTTTGTCCAGTAATACCTCTTTCCACAGGGACGGAGCTTCCTGAGGGCCCAAGGGGGCCCCGGCCCCTGATAAAATTTATTTATTCGATATAATTTTGGTTCATGTAAAAATAAATATTTAAATTTAAAAAATATAAAAATTTATTAAATATTTAATCAAGTAGAGGTCGAACTAAAGAATGATAAGTATGTGTTCTCAAATTTTTGGTCTAATTACAATTTAAATCATTGTAAGTTTAAATATTAGACAAATTAGAAGTTATCTTTTGAGTTTTGAGTTTTTTTTTTTTAATTTAGGGTGAATACAAGATAATATTTGTACAAAGACTTTCAACTATTTGATAATGAATGCTCATACCCCTACATACGTGCTTGAACTCAGACCTCAAGTATAACAACAATCCCTTAATCACTAAGGTCGCTTGGTTCATGCTGAATTTCGAGTTTAAATACCTAATATCTTTATATTTTTCTTAAATAGTCTAATATTTTGGCCCCTGTCAATATTTAATTTTGGCTTTGTCCCTCCCTTTCCATACTCTCTTTCCAAATAAATTTTTTTTCCTATTGCATCAAAGATATTCTATTATACTTGTTTTGTTTGAGATATTCGTTCTTCAAATTACAAAGCCTGATCCAAGGTTCAAAGTGTATTTTTTGGGGGTATTTTGACCTTCAAAAAGGTGTCAATTATCATTGTTCAAGCCTTGGTAGGTATCATGTGTGTCATTTTGATCTTTTAGGAACAAATCTCATTAGTTTTCAATTCAGATTCTGAGTCAGGGGATGATGATTTATTAATTTATCATGTTGTCTCAAATTTGGGTCTACCATTCTCTCAGTGTTTAAAAGGCACAACTGAGGCATGCATAGGCGCTAAGGCGAGGTGAAGCAAAGGTGAAGTGCCTAATTGGGTCTAGGCAAGGCGCTTTCAATGAAGTGCAATAAGGCATGCCTAAGATACACTAGGCGCAGAAAGGCGCCGCCTTTTTAGTTTTTTTGATTTTTTGTCCTTTTCTATTATGTTTTACGCACTAATTTATATATCAACAACAAAAAAGAAGTAAAAACGAAATATCAATGAAGAAAAGAGTAAAATATGGTGGGGGTGATTAGAAAGAGAGTTTCATAGGAGATGTATGAAAATTTGGAGTGAAATACAAATAAAAAAGGGGTGTTTTACCTTATATAATTATTGTTTGTCTTGAAGTTTGAAAGAGAGAAACAAAGGGGGATCATTAGAGGCCATTTTTGGTCTTAAAAAGACCATGCATGCACAAATTGAAAATTGAGGGAGGAAAAATAGGATTCAGTGTGTTTTGTTGCATAGTAACAGGTTCTTGAGAAGCACATTTAGCACATGGTTAAATCAGAACCCATGAGAAAGAAAGAATCTTGGAAACACAGTTTAGACATACGAAAATGGAGGATTATGGTGGATTGAGAAGGGATTTAGGTTGTAGGTGGTGTTAACAAGGAGAAAGATACGTTTGTTGAGAGGTGCGAAACTAAACTTTTATTTATTGTTTCAGTTTCTTATGTGGAATTGTGGACCAAGGAAGGGGGGTTTGATTGGGTTCTCAAGGTTCAATGGTTGATGGAACAAAAGTGATGTTTAATACATAAAATGTTGATAATGACTACTCTTTGGTATTTTTATTGCATGACTGTTCTTTTTGTTTGATTATACAACTGAAAAAAACATGTATATCTTTTATTTTTAAAATGTGTGCGTCACTTCAGTAAGGCGTGTGCCTTGTGCCTTGGCTATAAAACCACTATCGCCTTAGTGCACCTTGCCCCCTTTTTAACATTGCATTCTCTACATTTGTTCAACCTCCCATATCCTCCATTGTTGACTATAATTGTTTGTCTTCCTCTTCTTATTCTTTCTTACATCCCTAGATATTGCTTCTATACCTAAAATTGTTCGTGAGACATTAACTCATCCTAGACGACGTACAGCTACAATTGAGGAAATGGATGCTCTAGATGTTGATGATTCTTGGAGTTTAGTTTCCTTACTTATTGGTCAACAAGCTATTGGATGTAAACAGTGTTTACTGTCAAAATTAACCATGATGATTCCACTTCTCAGTTGAAAGCTGTCAAACTTATGGAGTAGACTATCATGATACTTTTTCTCATGTTAAATTTACTTCTATCAGGTTGTATTCTCTCCCTTGCATCAACCTTTGACTGACCTATGCATCAGTTCGACATAAAGCATGTTTTCCTTCAAGATGATCTTCAAGAGGAAGTATATATGGAGCAACCACCTAGTTTTATTGCTCAGATGGAGTATGGGAAAGTATGTTGCCTACAAAAATCACTATATGGCTTGAAAAGGTCTTTGGACTTGGTTTGCGAAATTTAGTTAGACTATTGAGAAGTTTGAGATGTAGAAGAGCAAGTCAGATCATTTTGTTTTCTATAAACAGACTAAAAGCGACATTATTCTATTAATTGTATAGGTGGATCATATTGTAATCACTAGTAGTGATTCAATAAGAATTTTGTCTTTTAAGTCTTTTCTCCATACACAATTCCATACCAAAAATCAGTTCTATAAGGAATCTTCCTACCTCAAAAGTATGTGCTTGATTTATTGACGGGGCCAAAAAAATTGGGCGTTAAACCATGCAATGCTCCAATTGTTCCAAAGTTACAATTAACCAAAGAAGGTGAATTTTTTTTATAGAACAGAGAGATCTCATTAAAAAACCCTTTCTTACTCAACGAAATATGAAAGTTTCGTAGAACATTGGAAGGAGGAAAAGGGTGTCTCATAATTTTATTGAACCAACGAACATTACAACTTAGAAAACATCAACACCTTACATCCACAATAAACCAGACAATACAAAACCCCCCATATCTAACACATAAGTCCTACACACAACCCCACTCATCCAATGCCTTCTTTTGCCAACTTATCCGCCTCCCAATTAGCCGCCCTAGAAATATGTCTGATCACCACAGCTTTATCCCTGTAAATCTCTAATATTTCATTCAACGGTAAACACAATTGATTCGGGCAAACCCCAAATTCTTAATCCAATTAACCACCACAAGACAATTAGACTCAACAATAAGTCTACTTTTGCAACTCCATTGAGACTCAGAAAAGATTCAAACCCTTTTTAATAGCCAACATCTCAACAGCTGTAGGAGGCCCCTTCCCGATTGCCTCAGAGAAAGAAGTCAACATATAACCCCCTGAATCTTTAATAATCCCTCCACTACCCCCTTTCATCCAATCATCCGTGACAGCACCATCCACATTTAATTTAAAAAGGCCTTCAGGAGGCGGAACCCACAGAGCCCTAGATAACACCATACTCCCCTGTCTGCCACACCTATCCACCACAGAAGGATCCCCCATAAGGCAATCAAACAACCCCGAAAACTCATTGTATCTTGCAAAGAACCATGCCACCAATCTATATCAAGGAAAAACAGGTTAATCTGATCCAATAACCCACCCTCAAACACTAACCTATTTATATACTTCCAGATAGACCACAAAACGGCAACAAGAATAACTTTCCAGATTTCAGAATTCATACCCCCACCAAGCTTGCAGAAAAACATCAGGGGCAAAATGCAAAGAAGATTGAACATTC